ATACCTTGAAAACTTATGCTTATCATACACTAACCATCATTCATTTGGTATCTTTCAAATTCTCCCCTAATTTCTTCCAAATGCTGACAATATTTTCCCCACCCCTGAAATGTAATTGCCAAAGTGTATGCCTGGGCAAATATAAACGAATTTCACTAAATATTTAAATTTTGATCTCCCTCTTTACCTCTTCGTTTCTTTTACACTGAACTCTCCTCTCCTGAGATACATACTGGAGATTCTAAAATCAGTTTTTAAATATGAACACAACAGCTTTAAATAATAAATTTAGATCCACATAATATTATTCTTATGTACTTCTCAGTGTCCTGCAATACCAAGCCTTTGAATCTACATAGAACACTAAAGTAGCAAGTACAGAATTTACTAAATACAGGCAAAGCAATTCTAGAAAATTCTCAAGTTAATTTCACCTAAATAAATAAAGAAAAAATATAACATGCTATTATTTTGGCTCTGTAAATGTATGTAATGATTTCATGTAACTGGAATGTCTATAAAGAAAAATCACTGTATAGTGAGTATACATTGCACTAATGATACTTCACCGTAAGATTAGTTTATCATCCTTAAACTCTACAAAACAGCAATCCTAACCAAAATCACATACACAATTTGGGGAAAAGGTTTTCCTTGATGATTCCATATATGCTTTAATGTGTTAACATAACTTGTAAAAACAAGAAAACTTACTCCAATTTCACTGTTGTATAAGCAGTTCTGAAAGAACAATGACCAAATAGCAGACCCAAGATTAAAAAATAAATTTAGAAACTTATTTAGTAGAACAGTTATCTTAAAGCTTATTTCCATACCAATTCTGTCAAAAAGTTCTCCTCCACTACAGTACTCCAGAAATAGATACTGGATATTGCCTTCTCTCCTGTGACCATAGAATTTCACTACATTCTCATGATTTAACATTTTATTGATACAGATCTCTTTCTTAATATTTTCTGGACAGTCTATGGCACGCTTCATGTCTACAATCTTGACTGCAACTGCTTCTTCAGTTCTTCTATTCACAGCAAGTTGAACCCTAAAAAGGAAAAAGAAGACAACTGAATTCTATTTCTTTGAAAACTTCAAAAGATTAACTATGACTCAATCAACAATTTTACCTTCATTACTTTCTCTACCCAGCAAAAACCAAGGAAATAGTTTCTGCCATGTTCTCAGCAGATACTACTCCTTTCTGAAATGTGAAGTATGATGAATAATGCTCTAAAGAAGTCATTATGTTGTACATCCAAAGGTTATGTAATAAATACTTGACAAAATAAGCTAAAATGGAGTAACAGTAATTCCATGCCACATCACATATACACATGCTCTATTCATTTAATTTTAGTAACACTACCTAAGATTTATTAACCTCATACTACATATGTCTGTGGTAACTGTTCTAAGGGGTAGGTACTATTATTGTCACCTTAGAGCTGAGGAAACAGAGGCACACATGAAGAAGTTTGCCTAAGAACACAAACCGGTGTGATAAGTGAAGATCTGAAACCAGGCAGTCTGACTCAGAGTCTGTTCATTTGCTCATTTAACCACTATGCTCAAACCCCAGTAAGGAATATGTGGGAGGAGAAATGGACTTCACAGGTTTCTTCCAGCTCTTTACAGAGAAAATTTTTTTTTAAAAAAGGGGGGGAGGGGATTAATCCTTACAAAAGTGCGGCTCTAGTTCCCAAAAATCTTAAGACTTCAAACGCAAAGATCTGTTCTCTGAGGTGCCACTGTATTAGAATAAACAATTCCAAAACAACAAATATGTACTCAAGACAACAGACAGAAAACTAAAGCAAGTGTGAAGGCAGGGTAAAGGGACTCGAACTCACTCTCCATAGGCACCTTCTCCCAGGGTTTGCATCAAGTCCCAGTCTTCCACAAAGGGCACTGCCATGACTCCACGATGGACCACGGCTATAAAAGGCAGGAACCCAGAAAAGATGGGGGTGAGGATAAGCTTCAACCATCTGCCATGATCCCTCAATATAAATAACAGTTTGGTTTCCCCTTACACCTCACCCGTATTTTATCCAAGGCTTTAAACCACAAGCAAGTATTCTGAATTCTGGCATTCTGTGGTGTAAATCATCATCCCCATTCCCACGCAGAACGAAGCAGAAACTGCCTTCCTCAGGCCTCTGAGAAAAGGCAGCAGCTCTGCTGAACAGCTGGGGGCATAAATGCTTTGAGGGGAACGACTGGGGACGGGCAGGAGGTGAGACGGGCGAGGGGCTGCAAGTTAGCGGAGAACAGAGTTTAACTAGGACGCCTGCAGCCCCTCCTCCCCCTTGCTCAGCTCCAATACCCACCCCACGCCGTCCCAAAGGCCGGGAGGAGCCTGGGGCGGGGCCAAACTGCCCCAAGAAGCGGAAGGAAGGGTTGGCAGGCACTCTAGACGGCCGGCGCCCAAACCTCTGGGGTCCTCAGCCGGCAAAGGGTTAGTCTCTCCAATCCCCCCACAACGGGGTCACCCGGTCCCACACTCCTCCACCCTCCGAAACCGCCCCCCCTCAGCGGGAGTCTCTCCGATTTCCTTCGCTCGTCACCGATAACTTTCTCTCGCCATGCCCCTCCCAACTAATGTAGACCCCGAACACCTTCTACAGACTCCTTTCTCACCCTACCGGCCGCCCCTCCTCACCAGGCCGTCCTTTGCCCGCCACCACAGGAATCCAAATGCAGCGCTTTTCCCGCCAAAACTCTGCCGGCGTCACGCTGTCGCAAACACGCGCACCCTTGCCGTAAAGCAGGAGAGCGCGCGTCCCTTCGTCCCGCCGCTTTAAAGGCTACAACGCGCTGCCGGCGCCGAGAGTTTGACCCCGATGCGTTAGCCGGCCAGGCCCGGGTTAGTTTGGAGTGGAGGGGAGATCCAGGCTGAAGAGGTTTAAGAACTTTCGAGCGCATGAGCGCGAAGGATCTCTGGGCCCAAGCGCGAGCCAGTATCCGGCGCGTGGCCCGCAGCCGGGCGGCCCTCGCGCTGCTGGGGGGAGCCGAAGCCCCCTCGGACGCCGGCACACGCTATGTGGGCTGCGGGGTTCTCGTGTGCCCTCCCCGCCGCTTCTGGACCCGCACACCCCCCTGCCCGGCTCTCTGAGCCCCTTGCCCAGCGGTCTGGCAGCATTGTGCGAATCGTACTCAGAAATGCTGCTTCTGAAACTTTAAAATGCGGTACAGCTCAGAGCCGAAAAGCTAGAACAGCTGTTGGCGAACCGATCCTGTGAAAAATGAAAGAAATTTGTGGCGGGAGCGAGAAGCACCCAAAAAAGACTGGCAAGACTGGCTGTGCTGCAGTGTGGGTGGAAGACATCCAGCTGAAGCAAGCTAGTCTTTTGTAGTGTGAGAGCGTGTCAGGATAACCAGTTTTGCCCTGTCTTGTGTCCAGGCTCCAAAACCATACCTTACCCCAACCTTTTTGAGGGAACAGCACCTCCATAGCCGAGTCCTACCCGCTTTTTCATTCTTAGTATGTAAGAAACAGGTGGCGGCAAAGGACTGTTTTGCCTCATTTTACGATGCAGATTTTAAACGCAGAGTAACCAGTTTAAATGGGAAAGAAAATTCTGGGGAAAGGGACTTGCTTGAGAACAAAATAATGTGGAAAAACTATAGGTATTCCCCCTTTGACAATGAACTAGACTGGGAACTCAAGGTGCAGTCAAGATCATCTCCATTAAATTCTCCAGTTCTTAAAATTGGGCCACATATCTTGAGTATAAAGCTCTGATTGTGATACTAGTAAGAGAGTAAAATGAGTGTACATATTATCAAAAAAGCACACATTTGTTTTAAAGCAAAGTCAGGGACCAAAAAAAAGGCCAGAGCACTTCAGAGTGCTTACTGTAGAAGTTTTTAACCATGATGTCAGCACTAGGCTTCATGTAATAAAGTAAGTTTTCCAGGTCATTTACTCCGTTTTCTCTCATTTTCACACTGTGCTGCAAGAATATGAAGAAAGGAAGAGGAGGGCCTGCACAGTTCCTGTGTCTGAGTGGAATGAGTGTCTTAGCCTGAATAAAGAATAAGGTATCCAGATTTCAGGCAGAACACCAGTTAAAGATGGCATGTGAGGAATCAGTGCACACAAAAGCCTCTCTTCCCTTCTCAAACCTTACTAGAATAGTAAATATTAAAATAACGATTTAATAATAAAAAATAGTAAATTTGTAAAAGGCAATAGCCCACAAGAATGGAATATGAAAAACAAAATTTTGGAAATTGAAAAATTTCAGATAAATGATAACTTAAATGATGAATCTTAAAACCATCAATAGGAAAGGAAAGCAACTTGGTTTATATCACAGAACTCCCAAAAGGCTCAAGTTTGATTAGTGACTCAGGTAACTGAATGTGGAGATGAAGGTGGGGCTAAGAAGAGGATAGGTTGAAAGACTATGTAAGAAGCCTAAAGAACCTTGGAACGCCTCCCTCCTTTGTGTACCCAATGAACTGCTCCTCCCCAAAGCTGGTACAAGACTTCAGAGGGTAAACCCAATCCTAACTGGAGAGTAGCAGGCACAGTTAAAGGCTTGGTAACCTTACTGAAAACAAAGGTATTAAGTTTATGTACTGAAGGCTGAAGCTTGAAGCCTTCTTGCCCCACCTTACTCCCAGAAATCTGCCAGCTGGCCTTGTATCCCTAAGAGGATATACAAGCCTTGAGGGAATCTTACCTATATAAAAGACCTAAAAATACTAATATCAGGGATTTCCTATGTAAACAATTATATAATGACAGAAATATGTTCCTATGTAACAATATGATAGCTCAGCCAGATCACAGGAGAGAGGCCCACGTTTAGTGAGCCCAACCCCAAACAGATCTTCCAATCCACTTTTTGGGCCCCACTCTCTAAGAAGAGCAGACAACCAAGAATTTGAAAAGGTCTTTAATATGAAAGATATTAAAGGAACATTTTTAAAAAGCTTTTGGACATTAAAAAAATAATAATAATGACAGCAGAAAAAAAGGAAACCAGGTTAGAAAAAAAAAGTTTAGGAAATGTCCCAGAAGGAAGGATAAAGGTGGAAAACAGAAAAGTAAATATAGACTATCAGGAGACTAACCCAGTAAGTCCAACATCCAAGTAACTTAATTTTCAGAAAGAGAAGCTGTGGGAATACACAATTAAGAAAAGAAAATTTTCCAGAACTGAAGAACTTGATTTTCCATGCTTAAAAGTTTAAAGTACCCAGCACAATGGATGACCCATTTCCAAGTGCATCTTGGTAAAATCTGAAAACATTACATAGATAGAGAGGATCTTAATAGGTCTGGGGTGGGAGTTAGAGGAATGGACACATACAAAAAAATTAAGAATCAGAATAGCACTGCAGAGGCGCCTGGGTGGCTCAGTCAAGAGTCTGCCTTCAGCTCAGGTCATGATCCAGGCTCCCTGCTTACTGGGGAGCCTGCTTCTCCCTCTCCTTCTGTCCCCTGGCTTGTGCTATCTCAAATAAATAAATTAAATTAAAAAAAATAATAATAGCACTGCACTTCTCAACAACATTTAGAAGACAGAAAACAATGGGCCAATACCTTCAAAATAATTCTAAGGAAAAGTTATCCCCAACCTGGAACTCTGTATGTAGCTAACCTATCATCTGAGTGTGACAAGAGACATGCAAGATCTCAAGAAATTTATCTCCCACCTGTTTTTTCTCAGGAAGGTAGGTAGAGGTGATAAGAAGGAAGTTAGGAGATTAACACAATGTAACAGTGAAAGGATACACCAACCCAACAGGTTGGGCAGCAAATCTAGAATGTAAACCAGTCCAAACTAGAACATATCAAAACGGAAGACCTCTCTAAGAATGAATACCTAACAAGTCCAAACATATTGAAAGGATGCTGTTACAAATGAAGGAGAGTTTGGGGAAAAATGAGCATCAGGTACAAAATACAAATGAAAAAACAAAAAAAACCCTCCCCCAAAAAGTTATGTTGGAAAAAAAAAAAGAGTAACCACATGGCCTAGTTGTAGAAAACCGTAAGGTAAGAAATACTGATCTAACCTAAATGTAACTATGATAGAACCGTAAGACGGTAAGAGTATGTGTGTCCATGGGAATCAGACTGGTGAAAGAGCTACACCCTCACTTTCCACACCACCAAGTCACCAGATGATACCTAAAATTGAAAAACCAACACATAGCAAAATAAAGCAAATTATTTAATGATATGGAGGTAAGTAATAGAATCAGCAGAGTTGAAAGTGGTTGTCTCTCGGGGGGTGGAAAAGTGTTGTTGCTTTTTTAGAGCTATGTGATTTTTCTTACACTAAATGCACTAGGACAATGAAAGTGAAAAGTAAATTTTTAAAAAAGATATCTTCATGTAGCCTAGAAAGTAACAAAATCATTAAGACTAACAACTATAGTGATTATCCCATATATGCTTCTGAGGAAGATCACTAACAATCTTAACCTGGTATTGCTTATATTGGTTAAAAAAAACAAGCTCAGAATAACCTCTTCCACTAGGGAGAAACTCTGTATATAAACCAAGTAATATATTTACATATAGTAAATTAAATCTTACACCAATCTAAATCTCACCCACAGGTCAAGCACTTAGTATATAAAATGGTTTGGAAGGTTAAGTTTCCTGGGTACACAAGAATACCTGAGCATACCCTTTAGGGGCACCATTATGACTTATCTAAAAGTCATGTAATTGCTCCTGTTTCTTAAACAGGTAACACTAAACAGTTATCTTGTATGTTTAATGACTTAGGGTTTACATACATCACTGATATATGTCTTATGTTGTAAAATACATACAGCGTCCTGCTGTACTGAATATAAGGCTATTTGTCCTGACATTGAATATTGATGGAACTACTGTGCTTTGAGTTAAAATTTTTTTAAGTTTCTCTTCTCCCTTACTGCAGTCAGGCTAGCACTGTCTCCAGGTACTTGCTGATAGCAATTCCACCCCCCTTCTAATTTGTAGCTTATTTGGCAAGGGCTTCAAAACCAGGTCACTGAGTTTATTAGTGGTATATAATAACAACATGGGCCACATATCTAGCTGAGACTAAGAAGCTCACCCTTGAATAATCACAAGAGTTTTAGCATATAAGCTAAAGGAAATGAGCAAAGAGATGTTTACTGTATCATGGATAAGTGAGTACTGACTGAAAAGCTGGATTTCAAATAGAAATGTATGATTATATTTCAGCTGATTCGAAAACACCTGACCATCAAATTCTATAAATAATATTGGAGGAGTTTCATCTTCTCCATTGAGAACAGTTTCACTGTCTGCCTTGAGTCTTCAAAACTTCAAGTGATTGAGTCTCACTTGATTTATTCTTGCTCGGAAAAAAACAAAACAAAAACAAAAAACCTAGCTAGTCCCAAAGAATACTGGTGACATCAGGTGTGGCTAGTCCCCTTCTGTCCCTCATAAAAGCAAAGAGCCTCTAATGACGAGATATTGAAACAGAGACATGATGGCAACACAGCTGACTTTCCTGCCCAGAAACAGAACTCCTCTGGTTCCACAAACATTTATTCATTTAATAAAAGTTTACTGAGCACCCACTATATGCAAGGCGTTGTGTTAGGTGCTGCAATTTTTGAAATGACAAAACTGTTTGTACAAGTGGGATGTGAGCTAGTCCTTGATAGTGTTCCTGATTTGAGAGAGACAGAATGCCCCCACATGGCTCATTTAGGGAGCTAAAAGCATGGATGAGGTTTACTTTCTGTCCTTCTATCAGCCCAGCACAAATTTTTGCCTTTCTCAAATCAGTCATAAGTC